CTAATCGCTTTGATTAATTCTTCCAGCTTAAGTATGGTGCTACATCGAACTTGGTTCTTGGAACCATGTAACATACTCGTCGTAGTCAGACTCAATTTGATATGACCACTATGGTCGGAATAACAACAATCTTCTTAGTCATTACCAAAACAATGGTAATGACATACTTGAATAAAATGAAATCAATTACTATCTTCTTGGTAACCTTGTGACTTTCCTTGATCCAAGTGTGAGTACTATGCTTACGGTAGTATAGGCCTCTACTACCATTCACACCTACTCATACTCGTCCTAAGTATTGTCTCGTAGTTTATCCAAGTCACCATGCATGAAAATCACATAACAGTTTAACACACCAGATAACAAAACGAAGGTTTTATTTTTTCTTGAAACTATTACATAGGTGTTCAAGTTCACCCTAGACTATGCCTCTAATAGGCTACATCATATGATTCTATCCCCTTGGCTACTTCATAACTCGATCTTCGGGCATGAATTCCTCATCCTTGATTCTTTGCGTTGTTTTCTGCTTCATCAAGGATCATGTGGAATGCCTTTGGCCTTGGTGGCATTTCTGGATCATCCAAACTACATCGTCCACCTGAAAATGAGCCCACACTCAATTCTTCAAGGATTCTAAGTCTACTAATACCCACTCCTTGATCACTACCCCGTAATGTGAAACTATTCGAAATAGGGCGTTACAAAGATGTGTGTACATTAACCAGAGTTATTTGCAACATCGGACTTTAAGGATGAAGTTTAGTTCAATTAATGGAGAATTATAACATCCAGTCCATGTATAAATTGATTTTTGTATGTTTTGCATTCTAATTAGGAGACCACTTTGTGGTGGAGTGTCACTACGACGTGGGGGAACACTTTGGATTTGTGGTATTTTAACAACCTGCCTCGATATGGTCATGGGGCAACACAACGTGGCAGGTGTTTTAAGTGAAAACCCAAATTTTAGGTTTTGGACCTCATATAAGGAACATTAAGGCTTGGGCTTCAGCCTCCATCTTCCTCCCAACCTCAAAAACCCTAACCCTAGCCTCCACTGAAGTTGTGAGCTCATACTTGGTGCTTTTTGGTAATTTTTGAAGGAGATGGATGCTCTTCGTGAGGTGATTACTTGGCAATCATCATTTCTTCGGCTAATATTATCTCTTGGACCTTGGTGAGTGCCAAAGACTCAACCTTTTCTTTCCATGCTGCTAAATCTCTTGTTGTTATCCCCTTTTTCCATGATTTTGATGGACTTAAGTGATGAGATCTCATAAAGTTTGCAACTTTATGAATCTCCAAGTCAGATTGAGCATTTAGTATCTTGAATCTAAATTATAATCAAGTTTTGATGTCATGCATGGGATTTTAGTCATTAAACCCTATTTTTGACCTAAAATGGATTAGGGATGCATTCGACATGCAAGTCCATAAATCCACGATTTTTAAGGCGATTTTAGAGTGTGAAAGCTTTCTGGAAAATGTAGAGGTGAAACTCTAAGGATTTGGTGCTTAATGAGAATCATGATGCACTAAGTTACCATTAGTGGTTGGGTTTGGGACTTTGGCTTTTGGAAGGTTTTGTGGGATAAAGTTGGAAACTTTACCCATTAAAACAATGGGAAGGACTAGATTTGAGCCTTGGAGTTTTGGTAGTTGAATAAAATCACTTAATGGTTTAAGTTGTCCGGACGCATCACTACGACGTGGTTGAGGACTTGAGGTCGCCAATTCGTGGTGATTTGGTCAAGACCCATCATATTTGTCAGTTTACGACAACAACATGGCCAAGGAGGCCACAACGTGGCGACTAGCTGAGTTAACTTTTGATTTTAACCAAGATTTAACTAAGTTTGACTTAGGGGTATTTTGGGTATTTTGGGTTGTAGTATAACTGTTGGTTACTGTTAATTGTAAAGGTGACCGGTAGAGTTGGCTTTCGAAGCAGTGTGTTGTTATAGCTATTTTGTATATCTATCAGGTGAGTCTCCTCACTATATACATGGGTCGATGGCACCAATGTCGGGCCATTATTCAATTATATAAAATGCTAGTTGTTATGTGATATATATTTGTTTGTGTGATCGGGTTGAAATACTCGCCAGGACAGGGCCCACTATTGTACGATTGGGTTGAAATACACCCCATGGCGGGGCCCACTATCATATTATTAGGTTGAAATGCACCACATGGCAAGGCCCACTATGGCATGTTCGGGTTGAAATATACCTAGGGCAAGGCCCCTGGGCGGTGGCCGTATTTGTTTATTAGGTTGAATTATACCCTAGGATGGGCCCCAAAATTTTTTATTTGGTTGAAATATACCAGAGGGCTAGGCCCAATTGTATGTTCGTATGTGGTACTTTTAGGGAACTCACTAAAGTTTGTGCTTACGGTTTATGTTATTGGTCTTAGGTACTTCCGATTCGAAAGGGAAGGGTCCCACGCGATGACACAAAATCTTCCCCTCATGATTTCCGTACTTTTTGGTTATTATTAGTCTAATAATATTGATATTGTTCATTGTGAATGCTTTGGAAAAATTTGATGATTGAAACTATTTATTTTAAAATGAAATTTTTTTATCATAGTTTTAAGATGTTACACATAGTATAATAAAGCTTTTCCTGAATTTTCGGGATATTGATTTAGTATTATTAAAGTATATTTTATTGGGATATGTCTAATGGGGTTGGTCTTTGAATAGATGCATCTTTGGATAGATGTAATACCAATTGGTTTGGATAATCCGATACGATTGATGTTGCCATCCGGATTGGAGGGTTCCATGTTAAGTCGGTCTATTTACGTGTATGCGTCAACACCGTACACTATTAATAACTTTCATTCAACTTTTCTAAATAGGGATAATGACTTGGGAGGGTAATTAGGTTTCTTGTTTGTCCGCATTAGGTCACTTAGGTTTTTTTTTGTGCGTATTAGACCATTATGGTCGTAATTACCGTTTACATTTAATCCTTTTTACCGTTTGCTTCTTGTTTAACCGGTTACAAAGTGAATACGGGTGTTACGTGGTTATTAGGCCATTACGTGGATAATTAGGTGGCATTTAATGTATATTAGGTCTCCTTAAATTAGGGCAAGACGAATCCCAATCACTTTCTCTTCACTCTCACTCAATCGTCCCCACCCATTGTTCTTACTTCGATCAATCCACAATCAAATGGCTGAAACTGATACACCGGTCGTTGAAGTCTGGTACAATGGGATGTTCATCAAGAAACCACTAATCTATTTTGATCCAGATAAAAAGGAGATAATGTACGCCGATTTCAGGGAGATGGGGTATGCTGAATTCATTGCGCACCTCAACGTGATTACTAGAAGAATATGCAAAGATGTATACTATTGTCCAGATGGGCAAACATTGTGTCAAGGATTGGCCGCATTGCATAACGAATGTGATTACCACGAATTTCATGAGTGTCTCCATGAGAAAAAGAAAGTAAATCTGTATGTGGACCATATGCATGAACCCCTATTCGACTGGATTGAAATGGAAGAGCCTGGAATTGAAGATGATACCAACTCCAAAGCAGATGAAGATGTTGATTCAATGTTAATAGATAAAGACTGCTGGGAACACGAGGTGGATGATGAGGATTTTTCAATGAAAAGGGCAACAACAACTATTCAGAATAAAGACAGGTTTTTGAACAAACTTTGTCCAAATGTTGAAGAGGAAGAAGATTCTAATGTTGAGCAACTACCACTTTGTATACCCTGTGCACAATTCTGAGCAACAATAGGATGAAATGGCTCCTGTGTTAGGTATGAAATTCACCAATCCTACTGAACTTAAACAATGTCTTACCAACTATGCTGTTAAGCATGGTTATGATTTGTGGTATGAAAAGAATGATAAAAACAGACTTCTAGTGAAGTGTTGCAAAGACAAAGAACCTTCATGTCCTTTTCGGTTGTGGGATTCTTGGATGCAAGAGGAAAGGACTTTTCAGATTAAGTCACTTAAATCAAGTCACAATTGTGGTAGAGTTTTTAAAATAGGCTTAGTGAATTACAAGTGGATAGGGAAACAATATTTCAATGTACTTCTAGAAAACCCCAGGCTTAGTTTGAGGAAGATGAAAGCTCAAATCTCAAGCACATACAACATCATAGTTAGCATTGGACAATGTAGAAATGCAAAAAAGTTTGCATTGTCTGAGATAGAAGGCACTCTAAAAGAGCATTATAGTAGGTTGTGGGACTATGGCATAGAAATCAAAAGAGCTAATCCAGGATCAACTGTGAGTATGCATGTTGACCATACCCTTGATGGAAGTCTAATTTTCGAACGGTTGTATGTATGCTTTAAAGGTGTAAGAGATGGTTGGGTAGAAGGGTGTAGACAAATCATTGGGATTGATGGGTGCTTTCTCAAAGGAATTTGCAAGGGTGAACTCTTAGCTGCTGTGGGTAGGGATGCCAATAACAGCATGTTCCCACTAGCTTGGGCTGTTGTGACTGTTGAGAACAAAGACACTTGGAAATGGTTTCTTGATCTACTCATGGATGATATTGACAGAGGCAGTGGAAATGGGCTTACTCTTATATCAGATGGACACAAGGTACCACTCATGTTTACTCTTAACTTTATAGTTTAATTATTAATTAATATTGTAAATTGTACAGGGTTTAATTGAAGCTATCAAAGAAAGGGTTCCTCATGCTGAGCATAGATTATGTGCTAGGCACATACTAGCCAACTTTAACACAAGGTTCAAAGGTGAGCATTTTATCAAGCCATTTTGGAGAGCTGTGAAGGCTACTACAAAACAGAGACATGAAGCTGCTATGCAAGAGATCAAGGAATTAGACAGGGGGCATTTGATTATCTCATGGAGAGGGACCCTAAATGTTATTGCAGGGCTTTTCAAGTAGAAGGAGTATTTTGTGATGCTGTGGAAAATGGAATTTCAGAGAGTTTTAATGCTGAAATAGTTCAGGCTAGACATAAACCAATAATAGCAATGTTGGAGGATATAAGGGTTTATGTGATGCAGAGGTTATATCATCAGAGGAGTAAAGGAGAGGCTAGGGATTTAACTATATGCCCAAGCATTAGGAAGAAAATAGGAGATTTGAAGGAGAAACAAAGGTAAGAATGTTTGTATTTACTTGTTAATATTTATACATGTGTTTATGTGTTCTTACCTGTTTTATGTTTATGTACAGATTCTGGGCTGTGTACCCTTGTGGGTATCAACAATTTGAGGTGGTATTATGTAATGACAGGTATGCAGTTGACCTGATCAGAAGGACTTGTGGATGCAGGAGATGGCAGTTGACTGGAATACCCTGTGTACATGCAGTGGCTGCAATTTCATCCATGAACTTAAACTCAGAGGATTATGTAGCTAACTGTTACAGTAAGGCAACTTATCTCACCTGCTATGCATACATTATTCATCCTTTGAATGATAGCTCTTTATGGACACAAAGTGAGTACACCAAACCTTTACCCCCAAAGAGTAGAAGGCTACCTGGTAGGCCATCTACTAAGAGGAGGAAAAGTGCAGCAGAAAGGGAGATATCAAGCAGACACACAGTATCAAGAGTAAAGCAGGTGCAAAGGTGTTCAATATGCTATGTTAGTGGGCATAAAAAAAATGGGTGCCCAACAAAAAGAATTCCAACAACAGGTGATCCGGTTCCTGGATCTTCCACTCCAGCTCCAAGTGCAACACCAGGATCCACTTCTGCAGCTCCAAGTCCAACACCAGGATCCACTTCTGCAGCTCCAAGATCCACTCCGGCAACTCCAAGACCAAGATCCACTTCTGCAACTCCAAGACCAAGATCCACTCCTGTAACTCCAAGATCCACTTCTGCAAGACCAGTTCAAAGTGAAGTTCAATTGAGAAAGAGGAAAGCTTCAGAAAGAATCATCAAACAATGCCTGAGGAAAAAAGTGGTGCCCAAGGATGGTAGTGGTTGTAGTTCAAACAAACCTGTAGATTTTGGTTGATTGTAGGTTTGATGTTGAACTCTTTTTTTTGTTATGTATGCATGTGGGGTGTAAATGTTAGGTAAGCATGTGTTGGTCGAATCTTTTGATATTAAATGTAATGTTGTACTAGACTAAGGGACAAAACTATCCAGCTTTTGATGCTATTTTGATGCTTAATGGGACACCTTTTTAAGGGTGTTTGTAGCTATGACAATATTACCCTTTAATATATTTTTTGCTTTAAATCTTTAAATTGATTCTTGGTTGTTGAATCATGCGCTTTACAGATGTACTTTGCCTTCAATTACTGCTTCTTCCTTTAATATATTTTCTCCTTTAAAACTTTTAACTGATTCTTGGTTGTTCATTATAATTACTGCTTTTGCATTACACTGAGATTGGTTGTTCACTATAATAGCATTTAGATTTCAATACATTACAATTAAAATTTTCATTACCAAAAGCTTCATTTGCATTCAGACATATGATTTCATTACATTATAGGTACCCTTACAATCAGAATAACAAAATAATGGGTACCCTTTATATTCAAAAGATGTCAACTGCATCATAATTCCATTCAATATAATTTAACAAAGTACAATAGAAACAAGACAATCAAAGCTACTTTATGCCATTTCATCATCTTCTTCATTTCATTCAGCTCATGACTAAGACCCAAAAGCTCCTCTGTGTACGGATCTTCAACAACCCATTCCCAAAATCCACACTTTCTCCCTGCTCTCTATAAAAAAAATGAAAAAGAACAAAACTTTAGCATAAATGCCATAACTTACACACTTATAACAGAGATTTAAAGAGAGAAAAGCTTCAATCTTCAAAATTGGCCATTACCAACGAATTAGGGCATGTTCTGAACCTTTTCCCCGGATTCTGTGGTGTCGTGGAGACTCGAATCCGACTCGGGAGCCCACAGTAGCACATGATTCGGTTGTTTGAGGTGGAGGCGATGGAGGCTTGCGACATCTTCTTCTGTTCTTCTTCAACTCTTCAATTTAGGGCATAAGAAAAATAGGACATTGTTTGAGGTGGACTCGATGGGGTTGTTATAGGCATGCCACCGGACACGTAAGCTGCCAACTAAGCTAAACAAGAAGCAAACGGTAAAAAAGGTTAAATGTAAACGGTAATTACGACCATAATGGTCTAATACGCACAAAAAAAACCTAAGTGACCTAATGCGGACAAACAAGAAACCTAATTACCCTCCCAAGTCATTATCCCTTCTAAATATTTTTAAAATTTTTCATAGATTTTGACATCCTTTTTTATATTTTTATAACATTTAAAAATACATTTTTTAAAGATAAGTCTTATAAAATGTAAAAAAATATTTAAAAATTTTATAACATTTTATCTAAAATGTATAAAATAAGTTGTAGTTTTCGTTTTATAAAATTCTCAAAAAAATACTTTTATCTAAAAGCAGTTTTATTGAACCTATATGGAAGAATTTAAAAAAATTAGAAATCTATATCTCAAGTTTAAAACTTTGTAATAAAAAAATAAATAAATTTACAATAATTTTGTAAATAAGTATGAAAAATAGTAAATATCTTTATAAAAAGATGTAAAATATTTTTTAAAAAAAAAATTAAAAAAAGGTTTTAAAAGTCTAAAATTTCTTAAAAAATAATAGAAAAATAAAATTGTATATTAAACTAAATCTAAGACAAATTCGTATTAAAATAAATATTTAGTCTAAATTCGCAGCAAAAATTATAATTTAAGCTAAAAGCATAAAGTTAAATAAGAAAAAATAATTTGTTGAACCCAAACCATGAATTGGTTAACTTTAGAAAAAATTAGTTTGTTAACAACTTAAAAACATATAAAATGCTTTTTTTTTCCTAAAAATATTGTTAAACCTTGTTTTTATAGTTCTTCTTCTTTTAAATAAAGTTGTTTCTATGGCAATTTAATATTAATAACAAAGTTCACGAACTTCTAAACATTTAAAAATATATATATTCTCAACAAAATTGCAAAAATGGTCCCTGTAGAATGCAATTTTTTGGGGTTTTAGTCCAAACCTCGATTTTTTTGGATTGATGGTCCTTTTGACCATGTTTATACGTAAATTTGGTCCCTCGTAAAATTGAAATGACTAAAATGTCCTTCTAATATATTGTTTTATGTTTTTTACCTAATTTAAATGAAAAAGAAATTAATTAATTAATTAATTTGGACTCACATCTCTCTCTCTCTCTCTCTCTCTCTCCTTCTTTGTTCTAATCGACCCTCTCAAATAAACTACTGAAGACGCAATGTTTTTGATGATCTCCACCCTTGAATAACCCATCATCATTGATGATTCTTCCTTCCCCCCCCCCCCCCCCTCACCACACGACTGTCGTCTACGTCCTCCTCCCACACCATCGCCGCCTGCTCCTTCCCTTCTTTGCCCTAACCCATTTTCCCTCTCATCTCCGCCAATAGGCTTGCTCCTTCCCTTCTTTTCCCTAAATCCTCACATCAACTCACCGATTTCTCTCCATTAAACACCAATGACAAACTTTGGAAAGCATAACTATTTTTGCTTGGAATTCATCAATATAGCTCCCGCAACCCGGTCCGTGTTCTTGACTCTTGTAAATAAACCCCAAATCCACTGCAACCTGGAGAAGTTTTTTGTTACGTTTTTTAGAACTTGAACAGAGAAGGGGAATCGATGCTCGACCCAGGACATTCGGTGGGAGCACGTGATGACGCCATTACGGGTGTAGGTGTTAGAGCATTGTGCTTCTTTGACCAGAGACTAACCAATGTGGATGGGGAACTCACCGGCTCTACAACAGGTTTTATTTTGATTTTAGGCCAGACCTGTGATGTTTCCCCTTTTTGTATCTAGAAAAATCAATTCTAAAAGTGGTTTGTACAGGGGTGGGGAACTGTTGGGAGATGAAGGTGAAAGAATGGTGTGATGTGTCTGATCGTAGGTGCAACAGGTCGGTCCGGTGTTTGATATTTGGTTTCATCAACATGTATGTGTGTGTGTGTGTGTTGAATCAAGTTCACCAGTCTGTGAAACCTCATAACAAGTTGAATCGATGTGTGTAGTTTGTTGAACGATGTGTTGTGCGATGAATATGTTTTTTGGATCTGAGAACTTAGGATTTTTTTTTCCAGGGTTCATCAATGTATGTGTGATCAATGTATGTATGTTGAATAATAGTTCATCTTTGTGTCTTTTGAATCATGGCTTTTTCCTTAATCAGATTTCGACACTACCTCATCAGATTTGGGTTCATCAGTGTAGGATGAGAGAGAGAGAGAGAGAGAGAGAGAGAGAGAGAGAGGTGACCCTACTTTTTTAATTATTAAAATAAATAGAAAACAATTAGATTTTAAAAGAATGAAAGAAAAATAAAAAATAAATACCCCAAGGGCATTACAGTCATTTCAGTTTACTGAGGAACCAAAAACGCAACGAAACTACCTCAAAAGGACCACCAATCCAAAAAATCGTGGTTTGGACTAAAAACCCAAAAAAATGAATACCACGAGACTATTTTTGCAATTTTGTCTATATTCTCAATAAAAAGTTTTTATAATATATTGGGATTTAGAAAGAAATTAATCTTTTCATGCTATTGACGTTTAAAATTTTTAAAAATATATTAGGATTTAGAAAGAAGTTAATAATTTCATGCAATTGACGTTTCTAAGGAACGTACAATGTTGGATTATACCAAACAATATGACCAAAGAGATGGCGGCCCTCACACAGTCACATCTCACATGACTTTGGAAATTCTAAGGTGTTGTAACATAAACATACGAAATCATTTGTATAAGATATTCAAAATCTTTTAGCATACAAATTAATTGTATTATATATTAACATATAATCAAATATAATAACTGGTTCTGTACATGGTTTTGTTTAATAGGTTTTTACATTATTTTTTTTTTAACAATCAATCATATATTAGATAAAAAAAAAAAAAGCTCTAAAAAAATAATAATAAATAATAAAAACATTACAGGTTGAAAGAAAAATGCATTAATTCCCATGGTTGTTTACTTGTTTTTATAAAAAGACATTGAGCTAAATAATATTAATTGTTCAACAATTATATGCTTGTCCAGATCAAACACCCCCTTCCACCCTTTGGCTCCTATATATACATGCTCAACTCATGACAAAATCCATCAATAAACCCTTCCCCATTGCTGCTTTCAACTTTCCCTCATCACAATATGTCGAGACAACATCAATATTACCTCTTTCTCCTTTTCATCCTCTTCATAATTAATGCAACATTCTCAACAATTAAAGGTTGTCGACTCATTGATTCAAGAACAGAAGACACAGATGACCTCAATGTTCAAGTACTCTCAGAGACTTCAAGTCCCGCGCCAAGAGCAAGAGGCCTCCGTAGAAGCCTAGTTGTGGTTGCACGCTCGGGTCCAAGTCCTGGTGAAGGACATAAGCATGTCGAAGACAATGGCATTGTCAAAAGAAAACCCACTAATTAGCTAATAGCTATTTTGTTATATATTAAAAACATTTTAAATCATGAATAATATATTACTTGATCTATCTCGTTATTGTGATACAAAACTATACAATGATTACTTTAAAAAAAAAGTATGTTAGTGTATGAGATATATAGTTTTATATTAATAAGAAAATGTTGTTTGTATCGTTTCGCGATTGGTTGTGTTGCGGGTTGGGTAACATATTTTTGTTGTACACGCAGACTTTTATTTGTTTGCTTGTTTTAGCAAATGATTGTGAAAGGCTTATTTTTCTAATTAACTAAAAAAATTAAATAAAATATTATTGATTCCTTGTGAATTTAGCTTCTTTCGGAAAGTAAATATTTTTTATTGGTTAGGTTCTATTCATTTATCTAACACAAATGTTATTATTTAGGGAGTGATTGGATAAATAGTTTTTAACTTATTTATCTAACATGAAATTTTATTATTTAGGGGGCGTTTGGATAAATAGTTTTTAACTTATTAGCTTATTGCTTATTTACCTATTGCAGTGGGAATAAATATATATATTTTTTAAATATGTTTGGATTAACTTATTACAGTAGGAATAAGCAATAAGCAATGAACATTTTAAGTGTTTGGCAAACAAAACAGCTTATATGAGTAAAAAAATTAATAAGCAATAAGCATTTCTTCCTTGCTTATTAAAATCAACTTATTTGGTTTATTCACACCTCAATAAGCTGATTTTTAAAGACTCCTATCCAAACACTTTAATTTATTTATTGATATGGGATTAAGCAATAAGCAATACATAGCCTATTTTTTCCCTATCCAAACACCCCCTTACTTAAATTATTTTCATTTATCTAACATGAAACGAGGAGCATATATTGGTGTTTGCAAAATGTAGTGGCTTGAAATATTTGAAATTATACTCTTTTTAGTGATCAAAGAATTATACGGAATACCTTACGAGATAGTTTGATTAATTATTCTTATCATTTGTTATTTTATGGGAATAAAAAGGTAAATATTAGTCGCTTATCGTGATATTCAAACCATATTTTAACTATTTCGTTGTAATTGGTTTATGTTAGCTTTTTGCTAACATTTTTTAATTAATTATCATTTAGCTTTTGAAAAAAATTAGTATTTATGATTGTTAATGGTTTTTATATGAGATCTAATAGAAACTTCTTACGGTTATGTTTAAAAAGGATCGATCTCATGCTTTAGTTTGTCCAAGTCCAAGTATTTGGTCTGACTAAGGATTAATCAAATTCTGAGTTTGAATTCTCATACTTTTATGGTAAGTTCATTTCCTAAGGTATATGTTACTGTATGAACGAATAAAAAAAATTGTAATTATCTTTAAGGTCGTAGATTACCAACGATCTTAGTCTTAGCACGAAATTTATTCTATAGTTGTGCTAGTTTAGTACATACATATTAATTTGGGTATTGTGCTTTTTTTTCTAAATAATTGGACTTATTAAAGACAATGAACATCGTATGTTTGAGTTCTTATACTATTGCAATATTCAATGCATAACAAAGGGTGTGTTAATTAATGGAATAAATGGTAATAATTTCGCTACCAAGGTGTCTTTTCCTGTGGTTTTATATATAATTTAAATCTTCGGTAATGCCATATTCAAAATTCATGCCTTAAAACATAACGTGAAGATTGTTTTTAGTATTTTTTGTGTTTTCTCTTTTATCAGTCATTCACAAATCACAAGTTAAGTTGGACAAATCCTACTAATGAGTTGTCTTTTAATTTGTAGAATTTAAGTCGGTTTATAAGCGTAAACATGATCTGAAGGTCACCATGCAAGGTCTCACAAAGACATTTTGGATGGATTGTTTGACGAAAATTTGGTTGGAGTTCCAATGTTGAAGGGTCATGCATTGAGATCTATAACTTAGTGACATGTCCATCTTGCCTAATTGAAAATGATATTTCGAACGTAAAGAAACGAACTTTACTCTCCACCCTACAAAAAATAATTGATAATGACCCAACTAAAGATATTCAAATGACAAATGGAATAAATAACATGATTCATGATCCGTTTTGCGCAGGTATCAAAACCCGTGTTTAGTTTATATTTTTTTTAAATTAACACGGATCATCTTTCATACCGTTAAAAGTTGAACGTTTCGTCCCTGACAAACATAAGGCGACTATATTTCCATTTTCTTTTCTTTTTTCATTTGTTTTGTATTTGTTTATTATTTATTAATTATTTATTGATTGGTTGTTATCTAAAATAATTATTTATTGCTTTTAGAAAAAGAATTGAACCTTAAACCCTAAACAGGTCTCCTCTCCACCATCACCACCCACACCAACCACCTGCATCACTCCGACTTGCTTGAAGCATCTCCGACATCCACCATCCTCTTCATTAGCCAACTATTTGTAATCAGCATTAAACCAAATCAAAACAAAAAAGAAACATGATATTTGTTACAGCTTAAATATCACATTGCAACGCTTAAATCCTCAAAACTTAAAGAACTACTTTTGCAATAATGATCTCTATGGTCTGCTAGAAGGATTGGCAGGTTGATCCTACTACATGGCCAATAATGATCTCTAGGGTGTGCTAGAAGGATTGGGATTGCAGTTAAGCATATATCTATGACTTCACACCAAGGACTTGATGAATTTAAGCTAGCATAGTTTTACTTGATTTGGACATGAACCCTAAGATATAATACTTTGGCATGGCTATAAGCTTATGAGACTCAAGCAAAAGCAAACACACAGAGAGTTGTTGGCACATAGTAAGTTAGACAATGCAACTGTATATAAGTTTTGCTTCTCTTGAGTTTATTTTTTTATTACATTTACTCACTATTGGAATAATTATTTGTATTTGACATGTTAGTGAAATAAATTCTTTGTTATTTATGGTATTTTATTTTGTATTATGAGATTTTTAATGTGTTATTTAATTTAAAAATTATTAAATCCATCAAAATATATAATTTTTAAAACATTTAACTTTATGACACGCAAAAATGCGTGTCGTCTTTCTTTATAACAGGGGCTTTAATGATACACAATACGAGTCGTAAATGTATGTCGTAAGGTTACGACATGCAAATGCGTGTCGTCTTCTTTATGACATGGCCTTCCTTGACACGCATTGTGTGTCGTAAGAACGCGTCGTAAATAGACGACGCGCATCTACGTGTCATCTTTCGTTATGACAAGGCCTTCCTTGACACGCATTTGCGCGTTGTCTGAGCGTTTTATAACACGCCTTGTGTGTCGTAAAAGGTTGTTTTCCTTGTAGTGCGTGTGAGCTTTTCAAGAGCTTTTGGTGTTCATTTTTGTGCATTTTTAAAGAATTGAAGAAGCTAGAAGTTGCTTAGCTTGAAGAGGAGGTCTTGGATCCAAAACATCTACCCATTTTGCAAGAAGTTTGAGGTATCAAGTTCTTTTCTTACTTGCTAGATGTTTTGAACACCATTTTGGTTAGATAGTTATGTTTTTAGCAATGGTCTGGATGGATGTTGGGATTCAGACGTCCCAAAGTCTTGTTCTTTCAGATCGAAGGTCTTCATGGACTCCTTTGGCATAAAGGTGCCAACTTTATGGATTTTAGGGGCTTCATGCATCCATTAAGTTGTTCATTAGGTCCTTTTTGAGCTTATGGTCATACATAGACGTAAAGTTAGCAACTTTACGTGGTATTTCAGCTTAAAGGGGTCAGATTTACATTTTGAAGCAAAGTCTTAAAGGGTTAGGAGCTTAATCTTGAAGTTGGCTGAATTGGTTGAGTATGGTGCGGGTACAAGCATGTATGAGCAACATACAAGTCGTCGATACAGTAAACCTAGCGTACCAACTGAGTACACCCAGCGTACTCAGTCTGATGGCATTTCGATAATGGACTATTAGTTTGTGCCTTGGTTTAGGCTTTGAAGGTTAGGGTTAGTTGGGTCAACTGATTTTGGTAGTTTTGGGTCAACTGATTTTGGTAGTTTTGGGCCAAGTATGTTATTGGGCCATGGGCTAAGGCCCATGTGAAGGAGTTGGGCCCAATTAGAAATCGGGCCATATTTTAGGCCTTGATGGATTGTTTAACTTTTGGGCCCATTGGACTATGGTTATGGTCTAACATCCTGTTTATTGAATAAGTAAGTAGATAAAGATTTATAAATGAATAATAGTCCTAAGTAAATAATATTTAGCAGGATGTTGGTGTTGGGGAGCCAATTGACATAATTTTGGATTTTGGGGGTTAAAAGAGAAAGTTCAGGATTTAATTTGAAAAGGGTTTCAGAAGTCAGGGTATGTTTGGTAATTAATGGACTTAAACTGACAGGATTGAATGCTTCGAGGGTTGAATGCTAAAATTTTGGAGTTATATTGAGAAGTTTTGTTGGACTAGGGGCCAATCTTGTAAAATCGGATTAAAGTTTGTAAGAACACGGGTTTAGCCCCGATGTTAATTCCTTCCCGCTTGAAGATGTGACGTCGTGTAACCGTAACCCTACTATTCCATTTCAGCCGCCACCATATGGGAGTCCTCCTTCTTCTACCACTGTTCTTCTTTGTCAGCGAAATCGAGGATGGTGAGACCGAGGCCAACCGTCGGTGAAGCTACTGCCAGCGATGATGAGTAACATAATGACACCAATAGTCGGTCGTTGTTGCCCTCCTCCGGTGAAGACGCAACCAGTATTCTCCGCTTTAACCACCCCCTTCGCTTCCCGCCGTCATGTCGTTCCACCGCCAGAGCTCCCGGTAAGCCTCCTTGTACATCCTTGTGTGCGAGACATGGTCGCTACTTTTGTTGCCGGTGTTCGTCGCCGTTTCTGTTAACCTGAACGGTGTCAGACACCAAGTAGGTGGCTGAGAGTGATCATTTTAGGTCGTATTATATTGTTGGAGCTCGTGAGGATTGTGACCGGAGCTTAGGCGCACCACCATGGCAGCCAACCATGGTGGTTGTAGTTTCTACCATGCTCTGGGTGGTGGCTATGGGTGTGTTTTCGAGTGTATTTGCTGT